TTTGATTAAAATAAAATAATCCGAATGAGAATCAATTTAGATGTACCTAATCAAATTAATTTAAAAGTAATTTAATCTGATTTGATTAATCCATTAACTAAATTATAATTTTAAATAAATTAAAAATATATACTTTTTAAAATAAATTAATTTAGTTCAATTGAATCAAATTAGAATCTTGATCCAATTAAACTCATTTATGAAATTAGACCTTTGGGTTGATTCGATTAACCGATTTAAACCCATTAAGGACTTAGGCAGATTAATGACCCTATTCAATTCAAGTTAGATTCCAATTCAATTTAATTTATTGATTCAAATTGAACACCCCTAACTCTCATGAAATTAGATATATCCCCTTGCTTTGTTGTTATAGTATCCGAGTGTCTTTTAAGTGATTTACGAAACCAACTGATCCGAGTATTTAGTTAGTTTTACTAAATTTTATTTGGATATACTCCTTCAAAATTCATCACTGACTTCAACCACCCATTTGGAGTATTGACTTTAGCTTACTCGGGATGGTTGTTGCACCTAAAAGAATTAGTTTCCTTTCAATACACAAAATCCTTCTGCGTCCGTCAAAACAAATATAATATCATGTGTAACAGAGTCAGTGCATGTAATCACAGAAACAATAGTTTAAAACAAATGATTGACTAGAATCTTTTAATTTAACCATCACGAGAAATAAGAATATTTTATTAGTAACATCCTAATTCAAGAATATAGAAATTTGACAACTTATTATAAAGATAATTTATCATTTTAATTAACTTTTCTATATAAACAATCCATCCGAAAATATAAACATCTCATTGATGATCGAAAGATCAACAACCTAAACAACCTCCTACAGAACATTCAAGAAAAAAGAGGATTATTTCCAACATATCCTACAATACATTAAATATTTAAATAATTATTGCAGATACTAAAGAATTAGAGCAAGCATCTGATACATGTCCACGTCGTATCTGACAAATTTTATTTCCAACTCATCCAATGGACACAACTTGAAGTCATCAAATGTCATGGCTTGTTTTTTTAGTGTGTGATTTATTTTGCTTTTCCAAGTTACAATTTTGCCGTTTTCTTGCAAAATGTAGGATCAATGCACACAACCACCTGCAACAAATAGAAAACGATTCCTCAATGAAAAAAAAAAATTGAAGAAAAGATTAGTACATCAAGTAGATTTATTTTCCCTCCTTTGGATGTCTGAAATACCTTGCCAAGACTTTCACCAGAATGTAGATATTCAACTGCATCTGCTACAGAACCAACACCCATGAATCCTTTAGGATCAACGGCAACCTATTATGTGCAGTTTATGACAAGAAAATTGGTCAGCATTGAATCACAGGCACGTTGAACATAGGTGTAGATTTGTTTCTTGAGCAGTAAATGAAGCAGTGCTGTAGGTGCTCCTAAGAAATCTAGGTGGCAGTTGCATTTAAGGATAAGCTTCTGTAAAATGATACCAACATTCCCATGTAATGGTTGTATAATACAGAATTACAAGACATTGAAGAACCAGAAAAAATTTGTACAATCTGACAGGTACAAGGCTTGAATGGGCTGTTCTGATTATCTATAGCACCAAAAGGTTCTTAATTGAAGAGGACATGAAAATGTGGAAACTACACACAAAGCATGCTCCACTAATGCTGCAAAACTAACTGATGAAAGATTTTAACCACAGATAAAATGTTAGGCAGCCAATCAGTGAATTAGCACATCACTCTGTCAGCCAATTCAACTACTATTCTTTGCAACTTCTATTAGGTCAAATGACAACTTAAAAGGGATGGATAAAAGCCCCAAGTTTTAAACCCCCGAGTAATCAGTAGATCCCTATCGACAACTTTATATTACAACAAGCACAGATATAGAGTGACATAAACCAAAGAAGTGAAATTGTGAAATTTAGACAATTAGTCAAAACAAGAAATATAAAAACAGTACTCATGAAATATATAATTCACCAATCGACAAACAGTACTCTGGATGCAGAACTTCATGAAACAAAAATCAATTTGCTTAAACTTGCCTATAAAAGCAATGACTATTCCTGCTCTAAAAGAAAAATGATAGCTTGACATAACTGGAGAATATCTACCACCTAATTAGTACTTGCAGTAGAGAAAGCAGATGAACTGGAAGTTTGCTTGTATGAGGAACCCAAAAGAGAAATGCATTTTATTACCAACGAGAAGATGATGATAACTAATACACTTTATCAGTGAACATCTATAAAGTTTTAAGTATTCAGCAATATTACATTTTCACCTATATATATGTGTTTAGGACATATGTGCAAAACTAATATATTATATCAGTGAATGCCTATAATTGTATGTATGCAGCAATAATAGATTTGTTCCCACTTATGTGTTCAAGATACATGTGTAAAACAACAAAACACACATTTGTGTAACAGTGGAGATCCATACAATTTTCTTTTTTTTGTGGGGGGGGGCACCTTTTTAAGTTTTTTAACAATATCCTAAAAGACTACTAGTGGTGTCCTTGTTATTTTTTATTGCAAGTTACTGAATCATGTTAGATTTAGCTGCTCAACCAAAATATTGCACAAGAATCCTCTCTTTTGAAGAAATATAATCCAATGCTGAAGTAGTACCTTAAGCTTTCCTGCAGAGTACAGATCAAAAAGCCTGTCCAGGTGTTCTTGCCACAAGCTAGCATGTTGAATCAGGAAAAAGCCAGCCTGCATGAAATAAAACAGATCAGGGTTATAAATCACAGTTTATTAAAAATGATAGTTGAAGGATGACACTTCAACGTCAACATGCCCATGAGATGACAGTATGCCAGTATTTATACCGCGTTGGCAAAGTACATGCTGACTAATACATAGGGTATGCACTCCTTAAAATTTTGTAACACAGTAAACCATGAAATTCACCTGTTAATCTTCATTAGTGTGATATTGCACGAAACTACTTGTTAGCATAATTAATCAGTAGCTCTCTGCAAGATTAGCATCTTATGTCATCACTAGTGGACCGTGAAAATTATGGCTAGGTTAATTAAAGAAATTAATGTTTTTCAGTAAGCAACATTGACTGAGAAGTGAGAACATAAGTATTACGTAAAGAATTCCAACAATATTATTACAAAACTATATGCTGGTATATTCTCAAGTAAAATCCAGCTTTTAAAGTTACTAGACATTACTAATAATTTAAATTGTGAAACAAAGAAAATTATATGATCATTTCGGGATAGATATGTCAGTATCTTATTTTTGATACAAGTATCTTAGATGCAAGCATAGATCGAGGAAACAAGCAAATAACAACATGATAAATTTATGGTCCATCCAGATTAGGCATCAACTGAATTCCACAACTAAATGTATTTTGGTCGTTAGAATTTCAAAAATAGCGACAATCCAATACTCGTAATACTGCCAATGCTGGCCAGAAGCCCAGATGAAAAATGTGGAGGGTTACGTTAGGTCACTGACAATCAACATAAAACTTTGTCAAATCTCATGAACATGAATCTTAACCGATCTTAGTATAGAGCTAGTCATCGCCTAGAAGTGATATGAGGCACCTTCACCACCTAGGTCTCCCGAATTACAAATGGTGTGCTAGGAGGTCGCCTGAAAGCGGCCCATCACATCAATGCCTAAATGTGATGCCAAGTAGATGAAGGTTCTCTCGTTATTTTGGACCAATGGGAATAAAGAAGTTAATAAAAAAACAAAGGATTATGTTAGCAACTTGGAATATAGAAATACTACTAGGGAAGGGATTAGAATTGGTAGACGCTATGATCAAAAGAATAATAAATATTATTTGCTTATAAGAGTCTAAGTAGGGAAAAAATTAGAGAGAATGATAATACTGAATTTAAAATTTGGTATCTTAAGTGGCCCTTGCATACGATGCTGCACTTGTGTGGCCCTCACGTGAGGGCCATCTGCTTCAGATTCTAATCGTCAACATCTCTAAAGAGAACTAGAGATCGTCGTAAAGAAACATACATCAATTATATCTGGAGATTGTTAAATATTATTTGATGTACCGAGTTTATAAAATTTAAGTATAAATATTATAAAAATCATGTTGATCGAATATTATATATATATTTAATATATATATATATATATATATATATATTAAAAAATACATTTGTCCTTGCCATTCCATGTCCTAATTTGTTTAAAGATGACGTGTCACCATTTCATGTCATGTTGTGTCCATGTCACATGTCTGTGCTTCTTAGGTAATGGCAAGTCTGAGAAGGGTTAATATATGTCGACTTACCCATAAATATTTAGAAAGCCTTTCTCCTGACTAACCTGCTCTCCCAGATAGCCTCTAAAGTCTAAATTATGAAGCTATTAATATGTAATGGCTCTTAAGGCAACAAATTGACCATCCAATACAAGGACATCTAAGTTTGTGGCCAACATCGAGAGGATGTTAGCTGCTATTAATAGAAGAAGGCATAAAAATATTAATTATGATCTTGAATTCTTCATGAACACATGGAACCATAGATGTTACAAGAGAAAGGCTCATAATAATTATGCTTAACAGTTAACACTGATATTCCACCAGATGCAAATGACTGGTACCGACTTTTTCGATGAAAAAACACATTTTTCTACATGCTATTTCTAAATGCTAATATTTCTTTCTAAAAGGCTGATTTATGTAAACTGACTTACAATTTCAGATACTGGTGATAATTGTGGATTGATGCTGCACTAGATAAAAATGACATACAACATTTTTCTGTTGAAGAACACATTCTTTTCACATGATATTCCTAAACAACAAAATTTCGCTCCGTAAAGATAACTCATCTAAATTGATTTATAATTCAAGATGCAGGTGATAGTAGTGGGAACACAACATGAAAAACATAGAAGTGGGGCTAAACTAAATCTGATGACATCAAGGCAAGGTACCGAATCAAGAAATGCTCTATCAGTAACAAATTGCTGACTTTAAAATCAAACATCACAGATGAAGATAAAAGATAATCATAAAGAATCAAATTCTATCCATTTGCATTTCAGCCGGACATACCACTGTTTGACTTTTTGAAAGAATTTTCTCACACAAACCAGTGTATTTCAAAGGTTCCCAGCCATGCTTTCCTTGGTACTGAAACATGCATAAAAAGAAAAAGGCATTCTTACAAAAGTGCATATGTGATAGAAGATAGACTAGAATATACAGTTGAATGAAAATTCAATATTCATTTATTTGGATCTTCCATTGGTAAGTACATTTTGAAAGCAAATCAAAATGATGAACCATGGTTACACAAAGGCAAACTCTACTAAAAGGGCCATGGCTTATAAATGTTAATTTGATTATTGCATTGATCTAAAGAAGCTCTTTGCCATTAGATACAATAAACACTATTAGCATATGAAGATCGATTTTTAGTTAGTGACAATGACCCGCATAACTTGATCAAGCATCTCAGGCATCCTACATAGGACATGAAATTCTTTGAACCAAGGTTCGCAATACCGTACCGTACCGGTATTTCGACCTGGGCTCGGTACTGGTACGGTACGGTATACCGTGCTACAGTACACTCGGACCGGTAACAGGTGGTCCGCATACCGACAACCTGTCGGACCGGTACGTACTGCCCATACCGGGCGGTACGGTTCGGTACGGCAGACCCTGCTTTGAACCATTAATGCAGGAATCCCGTACATATCGCTTTTACCAGTTTGTACATTTAGCAATGTGATGTTAGTCATATAGGGCACAAGTGCAAGCTTGCATGCTATGCCACTAATTCTAGCACATGTATCATGATTCAACAAAAATCTATTAGTACCACAATATGTAACATGCTAGTGGATTGTTAGTTTCAGAATTTCAACAGTCTCAAAAGATGCAATTTAAGGAAACAAAAAAATTTACTCATGCAAAGGTATGTTTTAGTGCTTTTTAGGTTTCCAGCTATTTTAGTTCACAGAGAATTGTTTAACAGCTAGTTCAGTGAACCAACTCTTAAAACTCAAGTCATGGGTTCTGCATATTTATTTAATATTTTAAACATTATTTGCAAAACCAACTAGAGTGGTACACTATGAGCAGTATTTACCGATCCGATCACCTGTCGAGATGTGGACCAAGCCCATCCAGATGGCTAATGTTTGGAACAGTTGTCATTCCTGTAAACGAGGCTTAACGCCTGGTACAGACCCCATAACAGCCCTGTACCAGGTGAAAAGCATACCCGATAGTGATCCTGTGGTCACTTTGGCAGCTTTAAACCCTCTTCCTCTCAGACTTCTATCCTCATCTTTACTCTCCCTCTCATACACCCTTTCTCACTCGCTCTCACTCCCTTATAAATCTCTTTCAACTCTCTTGCAAAATCATCAATGAACGTCTAGGGGAGGGCTATTTGCTCAAGAAAAAGATTTAAGTTCAAGATGCGGTCGGACTCTTCATATCAAATTTTTTATCAAATTTCATGCAATTAGGTTAGGATTTACGTTTTCTCTTCCAACCTTTGCCTAGATCTCTTCCCTTTGGATCTTGTTTAGGGCTTGATCTACAAAGATCAAGCCTTGATTCTTGTAGATCTAAGCTACATCACTCATGATCCCCTAATCATTTTATTGTTATCAAATATCAATATTGATTGTACATGCCAAGAAAATATGAGAAAGAAACCAAAATTAGATTTTATTTTTTATTTTGACCTATTTTTGGTCTTTTTTAATTGTATCACAACACATACCGAAGTACCCTGTGCAGGCATGCTAATACATACTGGTAACATACCATGTTGAGCTTGGACTGGTACATGTCCTATATATGAAATTCAATTCCCTGAGAGCAATGCTACTAGTTCAAAACATTAAAGGGATGTTCTATAGTTTAGTTGGCTGGGTACTCCTCATCCCACTTCATCTCTGAGCTTCACCATCAATTCTAGAGAGAAAATGTCGCTAGAGAATAGAGACCACTTCTATGGTTTAGTATTTTTTACGATTTTTTTTTTTCCAGCTTCACCCCTTTGTTTAGTTTTGTAATAATACACAATAGCTGGCACTCTTGATCACCTCGTCTCATTGAGGATGAGTGGCTGACGTAGAAGATTAGCAAAGTGGAGGCTGCAATAGGAGGGAGCCATACTAGAGAACTCATCTTGTTTTTTCTCTTTTTTCTTCTTCTTCTGTTGACACAGCAAATGCACTGGTGATACTTCTGTTGACACAGCAAAAGCCCTGGTTCTAAGAACCACCAGGACACTCTGCCTCACCAGAATATGCACACTAACACACTTAGTCCTTATTTGGAGCTCCTTTTGGATGCGCTGTAAAAGATTTAGAGATATAAAAACAGTGGTCTAACCTATATGAAGTGCTCTGGCCAAAACTATATAGTGTCAGTAGGCTGATGAGTGCTTTTTGTTAACATGAAGCTATTTCAACTAAGTTGAAAATTTTATGTAAGCAGAGAAACAAAAGGACAATACCTGAGAAATCATTCCAATGACAATAAGTCTTCCATGAACTGCTAAAGCATTTAGACATAAATTGAACATTTCTCCTCCAACGGATTCGTATACAATATCAATACCCTTAGGGAATTCTTTCTTTAGCACCTGAAGCAAAGTTTAATAGAAATTCTTGATACAGTATGATAGACAAAGGAACACAGAAAAAGTAATTAATCAACATATCTTAAAGATATTTAGTATGTATCTATTAACAGTGGAATTTTCAGTGAATAACAATTCATCTTTCAGTGAGTAACAGTTTATCAGTATAAGTCCTTTATGAAGAATTAACAGCCACAAGATGCCTCTTTGTTCATAATGGAATTTTCAGCAAATAACAACTCATCTATAAAATCCTATTATATGAAGAATTAAGCTACAAGAGACACATGCATAGAAAAGATAGATTGATTTTCCAATTAGAACATATTTCTTCACCAAAATAGGTAGACTTGGTTTTCTTGATGATTTCTTAGTAGCATGGATAGCATTTTTTTTTTTTTAATGCGATCAAGGCCAGGATAGCAACTCCATTAGAATAGGAATATGGTAACCCAATAATCCACATTTTTTCTGTTACTTTACAGGTTTCCTCCTCTGCTAAATTGCAAAACCACATTCAAGAAATCTGGAATAGAACATGCCATGTCACACAAAAGAATCTTCATATATCCTGTTAACACAATTCTTAAAAAAAATTCACGTTTTATCCACCTAAATCGTATGTACAGCCTACTGTAATTGTACAATTGTGACTTAGCAACTGAGTCGTGGATACAATATGAAGGATCAGAACTCTGCAATGGAGTCCTTGACAAAATTTCTTCTCCAGTCAATCTCCTTGGTTTTTATTAACCTGAGGCAGGATTGGACGCTACATTCATTTTGGTGGTAATTGACCAGTATATACTCGTGTGATTGTACTGAATGTGTCATGTGTCATGTTTAGGAGTTATATGTAATTTAATACATGTTCTTTTCATATATGGTTTGCAATACTCAATAAAAACATTTCAGTTCATTATTTAACCAAAGTTTAGCCAAAAGTTTAAGTTACTAATTTCTTATTTAGCCATATTTAGGCTTAGGGTGATTTTTTAAATAGGTCCACGTCCGACCTGTTCTAGTTGGACCGACCCATGCTGACCCATGATGTAAGGGTCCCTACCAGCACTGCATGGTAATTGACCAGTATATACTCATGTGAT